AAGCTCTTCCCTGGTTGACATCAAAGGCACCGGGCATAGTCTTCTCTTGTGAGCTGGAATGGTAACCTGTACACAGGCAGGACGTTGAAATCTCAGGCCCTCAAGTACTGAAGCTGTGCCCAGGAAGGAATAGGCACTCAACAAATAACTGCTAGGCAAGTAAACTGACCGTAGCAACGCACTCAAAGCAGAGTTATATCAGATAGATAAACCACCAATCAATCCTGAGGCCAGAGCCCAGTTACCTGCACCCCATACTTGGACTCTAACCACCCTCTGCCTTTTCTCCTTCCCCCAATATGTGTTTGCCATAATGAGCTTTAAGAATTATAAACCAAGGGCTGGAGAAATGGCTTAGTGGTTAAGAGCATTTGCTGCTTTTGCAGAGGACCAAAGTTGACTTCCTAGGATCCATGTCAAGCAGCTCATCACCACCTGTAACTTCAGCTGCTGAGGATCTGTCATTCTTCTGGCCTCCACAGGCACCTGCATTCATGTGCACACACACACACACACACACACACACACACACACACACACACACATACACAAGTACACATAATTTTAGTGTTTTAATCTCTAAAAGTACTAATCGAATCCTAGAATTCTTCTTTAAGTCCCTCAATGGCATCCCATGAAGGCCTAAATACAAGCCTGGCTTGGTCTATATGATTGGGCCTTCTCCTCTTCCTTCATTCAGCACACACTGCCCTAGGCTTCTCCCTCCCTTTCACCCACCAAACTCCTTACCAACAACCTAGATAACTTTGATTCCTCTGCCTCAACTTCTTCTCCCTTGTTTTCTGTATGACTGGCTCCTGCACATTACAAATATCTCAGCTTCAGAGGCTTTCAATGAACCAGTTCCCTGCCATATTTTAGTTCACTTATAGCATTTATTGCTATATGAAATTATTCAAGCATTTGTGGTTGAATATCTATCCAACCAATCATAATTCCCCTGACACATACATATGGCTTGAAAGAATGTCGGGTAAGATCCTGGTTACTGTCTTTATACATATGACACTATGTGTGTATAGTTGTTAATATACACTTGTAAATACACACCTGTTACACTTGTAAAAACACACACTTGTTAATATACACCTGCCACTTAGTAAATAGTCAACAGATTCTGCTGAGTGGGTGACTGATAGGATGAATAGATTGACACAACAGGTTGATAGAGTGAACGGATTGGCAGGTGGTGGAATGGGTGGGGGGGTGACTTAAAGAGTGGATGGATGGATGATAGGATGGATGGACGACAGAGCCAATAAGTGCATAGCTGATAGAGAGGATATATAGATGTACATAGATTGCAGGTGGCTGAGAGAGTGTGCAGGTAAGTGACTAATGGAGTGGATAAGTGGATGGCTAGCGGAGGGGATTGGTGAAGAGCTGATAAAATAGGTGAGTGGCAGCTAATGGAGCGGATGGATGCTCGGCTGATAACATAAAAGGATGTGTAGCTGGTGAAGCATACATATGAATGGTGTTGGGAGCTGCGAGCCCCCCAGGTCCTGAATTTCTGGTAAACAATTTGTAATGCTTGCAGCTGCTCTGAACACGAGACCCTCAGGAGTTCCTGATGGCAGGGGAGTGGTTTCTGGTGGGTTTGGCTTGGGCGTGGCTATCAATTAAAGATCCATATATAAGCGGCTCGGGTACACAATAAAGGGGGCATTCTGGCATCAATGACCTGTGTCTCTGTCTGTGTGTTTCAATCTTCAGCCCCTTGCCCGGTTCACAAACTGTATGGTAGCACATAGAGTGCAGACGGGCATGGGGCGCTACAAATGGCAGATAGAGTGAAGAATGGAAGGGTGATGGGATGAATGGTTGGGTGACTGATGGAGTGAATAGGTGGATGGCTCACAGAATGGGTGAATGGATGGCTCACAGAGTGTACAGATGGATGATTGTGTGGATGGATGGTGGCTAGAGCAGAAAGATGTGTGGTTGATAGTTGAAGGATGGATAGATAGCTCATGGGGTGGCTGTAGTTATCCGCTGACATGGAATTGTTGAGTCAACAGTTGTCTCCTGCAATAGACCATGAGCATCAAAGAGATGCACGTCTTTTTAATTATCTCTCCCCCCGCCCGGGATCAGCCCCACCCAGATACATGGATACTCAATCATCATTCTGAGAACCAGTATTCACAACAGATGCAGAAATCTTCCTAAGGAGTGAGAGAGGAAGGAAACCGCATAAGAATGCTGGAACATGTACTATAGAGCAGGAGCAGTCTTATATTGTTAATGAAATTTTTAGCTTTGCAGATTTCATACCAGTGAACACAAAATTGCAATGTGCAATAGACGGAAATGTGAAGCGCCTGGTGTGACCTTAGTCCTGGCATCAGTTCTCCCTGTGACCCCGGGTGGGTTATTCAGTTTCACTGCGTTTCTGTTTAACCACTGCTTGTCCATCGCACTGCGAGAGTAAAAGCTGAGAATTGCAAGGTGTGTGCACACACACAAAATCCTGCCACAAAGCCCGCCAGAAAATAAGAGAACAAAATACAAGCCTTGGGCCTGGAGAGATGGCTCAGAGGTTGATGGCTCACTGTTCTTGCACAAAGTTTGGTTCCTAACACCCACATATTCAGCTTCAGGGCATCTGACACCCTTGTCTGAGCTTGGCCAGAACCTACACTCACATGCACATAGTCCCACAAAGAAACATACACATACTTAAAAATAAGATAAACCTTAATAAATAAATATCCCAAGCCCTTGAGTATATGGGTTTCACTTACCATTTTTAATGGTGAAGATACTTTCCCAGCTACTGACTACAAAGTCCACTCCTCTTCCTCCCCATCCTGAGAGGTTAGATTCACGAAGCTTAGATCACCTGTAGTTATCAACAAACTGTCCCCTCCAGGTTCCTACTCATCCATTCCCTCAAGCTACATTACTACTTATACCTGGGCCAAACCAAATTGTCCTATGTACCAGCAGTACCACACAGTCTCTGCCTCGAATTAGGTCACTATGCGGCTGGCCAAATCAATTCAGCACATTTGAAAAGAAGCCATTGTTAATTATTTCTTCTGCCTGTCCTCTTCCTGGTCATTGAACTACCATTTTTACTGGCATCCAACCTCATAAACCCTGTGGTTATCTCGGTTTCTATCTTCTCCAGCTACAGTATCTACCCAATCACTAAGCAAACTCTGTCTCTTCGTGAATAATAACCAGTTTGATTTCCTTGCTGTTTACCTAATCTAGATTAACCATGTTCTATTCAGGTCACTACCTGTGGCTTACCTATGGAATCACACCACATAAACCTCTCTCTGCATAAAAGGCCTGAGGTTCCTCAACTGAATTGGACAGCTTTTTTACCTCTCAGAGGCTCTCAGGTCCCCCTATACTCAAGGCTAAAGATGAATTCCCATGCTGGAGCTCATGGTCATATAGAAATTGACCTCATAGCACATCACCCTACACACACAAAGGATCTCTGCTGAAGCTGGCCTAAAAACTCACGGTATCCCTCCGCTGCTGTTTACACAGAGGAAGTCTTTGGCCTACCACTTCTGCATTCCATGTTTCCCATTTTTTGTTTTGTTTTCCATTTTAAGCATAGAAGGCAGGAGAAGGGAAAGGGAGGAAGGAGGAGAACAAAAAAGAGGAGGAGAAGAAAGAGAGAAAAATGTAATTTCCATGTCTAAATCCATAGGTCTTATTTTGCTTTCCACTAGGTCCTGGAAAGAACTTGGCACAGTGGGGTCTTGGGTGAACACTGAACACTGGCTACCATGATAGCATTTTCATGTACCTGTTTTTCCTTCCCTCAGACCACCCTCCTCCTAAAACCCCTTTCCTCAGCTACATCACTGGAATCTGCACTGGTACTTGAAGGCAGTGCTCAAATTCTATATTCTTGGTGGTCATGTGCTAGGTACCCAGTTTCAGGCTGCCCATAACCCTCCAGATGGTTTTCTATCTTTCCTTTAGCATGTGAAGAACGCTGAGCAAGGGCTTTGTCATGAGCAGCACACTCTCCATGAATAAGAGTTCAACAATACAATATAAAATCATCTTTCTTTTTTGTTAAGTATATCATGAAATAAGATAGCAGGAAAGGACACATACTTGTCTACTAGAAGATGATCACCAAGCACTTACAACACACCAGAATATGACTGCTGCTCAGCTAATCTGAGTGCAGTAAGAATGCTAGATCAGTTCTGATCACTCCTGCTGAGGTCATTGAGAGAGATCAGAGAATTCTCAGGCAAAAAAATGAAAAAAAAAAACCTGCTACAATAGCCCTCCAAAACAAAGTGGACTTCACCCTCAAGGGAGCTATGGATAGACTGTAAGCTGCAGTGCGGACTGGAGATTAGAGGTGAGCTGCAGTGCGGACTGGAGGTTAGGGGTGAGCTGCAGTGCGGACTGGAGGTTAGGGGTGAGCAGCAGTGCGGACTGGAGGTTAGGGGTGAGCTGCAGGGCAGATTGTTAGATGAGTTACGGTGCACACTGAGCTGATAGCAGATGAACTACTCATTGCAGGCTCTGGTTTCCACATCACGGCACATCATCAGTTCATCAGGTATCAGTGAGGGAACGACCAGAGAAAGCATCTGGGGTTGAACTGAGCATTTAAGATGATTCTTAATTTTTTCAGAGAAGTACAACCGAAGGTGGCCATCTTCTTACCTAAAGTTCCTTTTTAGTCTTTGTTAGACACAGAGAACAAGACTACTCAAGCCCTACTCTGACCTATCAAGGTTCTTACACCATAACCACAACATAAGTTGCATCATGTTTCCACAAGCAAAATACTTTGGATTCTATCTTCTAAAAGCATTAGCTCTTCTTTAGGACTTCAGTTGAGGCATTGAAACTCTAGTAATGTTTCACATAGTTGCTTATATGCCACTAGGTAGCGAAGATTTATTCCTGTGTATTTAATTGAAACCCAAAGGATTGCTCTATAGCGATATAGAACATTAATGAGGAAAGCTGCTGGTACTTACGCTCCCTTTAGACTTCCTCGATCCAACCATGGGAGGTAGCGAAGAAGCTTTCTGACTGTGGAAACAAATTGCAGTTTGGACATGTGAACGTTAGTTACAAATAATATATGATGCCTATAGCAAGCATTCTAACCTGCTGTCCCTACCCAGAAGCCCTTGTTGATTGACACTTGTGGTTAATTCCATAAAACCTCAAAATTCAACTCCAAATCATTTCAAATGGTTTCCTGAATATTATCTGACTCAATGCTTATAAAGAACCTTTTAATAAAAATTTTTTGTAACACTTTGAATATAATTGGCCCCCATAATATTGTTATTAGTAGATGTGGCTTTGTTGGAGTAGGTGTGGCCTTGTTGGAGGAAGTATGCTACTGTGGGGGCAAGTTTTGAGGTCTCTTTCTTAAGATTCACTCAATATGACAGTCACATCACTTCCTGTTACCTATAAGATGTAGGAATCCCAGCTACTTCTCCAGCACCATATCTGAACCTCTGAACTGTAAGCCAACACAATTAAGTGTTTTCCTTTCTAAGAGTTGCTACGGCCATGGTGTCTCTTCACAACAACAGAAACCCTAAATCAGGCAAACAGTTTTAATTTAAATTCCCAAATTTTTTATTTGTAGGTCAAACATCATTTTTAAGTTAACAATCATGCCAGATTGAGTCAAAAGCAGCAAATTTGTTGAGCATGGTTGCACCCATCTATTAATCCTAATCTAGAAATAGAGTCTCAAGTATCGAGTTCAAAACTAGACCAAGTTACACAAGACTTGCTCAAAAATAATAATTATAATAATGACTTAAGAAAATAATGCCGACTTTGTCCACTTGTGGTGGAAAAGAAAGAAAAGCACTTATATTCAGAGGCTTATATTCAGAGGCTTTTTAAACAGGATAGTTATCACCACATAATAATAACAATTCTTTATCATAAGTTTCAGATGTCCATGCCATTAGGCAAGAATCCATCTCATAATAAGTCTCTAAAAATAGAATATGTATGTAACAGTAAACCTTATTAATGTTTATGAGAAAGAACTGCAGTGAGTCAGTTTTCACATTAGCACACGTGCCCAGTGCTGCTCACAGCAGGCTCGCCAGTCCTGCTCAGCAGAAGCTGTTAAAGGACTGGGTAATCAGCAGCCAGTCCATTGGCACACAACTCTACTGTTCATGAAGTCCTGACATCCCATTCTGCTACTCACTAGACGCCTCCGTTAACCCCCATCAGCTCGCAAACACAATTAATAGGGTCTACACTGGTGATGTCCCATTCTGCAAAGGACAGCCATGAAAAGGCAATTCTGAGGGCCAAGAGGCCCTGAACTCTGTACGGAACACCAGAGATGGAGCCCCAGCACCCACTAGAAAGCTCCAGGGTCACAGCTCGAGGCTCTGCAGCGCAGATGCTAGGATATACATGACCTCCTCACAAAGCTCACAAAGGGTGTTTCCAAGGGAAAAGCAAACAGCGCATCACAAGTAGCTACAGTATAAACCTTGCGGAGGAGATGGCTCAGTGGGAAAGGGACTTGCTACAGAAGTGTGGAGACTAGAGTTTGAGTCTCCAATACCCATGAAAATACTCAGAGGGCACATAGACTGCCTTGCAATCTCAGGGCTCAAGAGACAGAGATAATGGATCCCTGGAACAAGCTGCCTTAAACTGAATCAGCAAGCACTGGTCTAAGTGAGAGACCTTGTCTCAAATAATAAAGTTGAGAACAGCCAGAAGTACACTTGACATTAACCTTTGGCCTTCACATGTTCATGTGCATACATACAAATAAACACATACACACACATACACATAAGTCTGAAAGTTTGGCACTGACTCTGTACTCAGCTTCACTATTGGCTTGTGTAAGGGCAACTACATTGCTTTCCTATCTTATGATTTCTAAAGGGGATGGAGGGCATGTAATCCAGAAAAGGCCATGCATGCTTATCATCCCAGAACTCAGAGGTGGAGGTAGAAACAGCAGGAGTTCAAGGCCAGCCTGGGCTGCGTAGCAGGTTAGAGGCCAGTCTAGGCTATGAGAGACCCTGTCTCAAAAAGATAAGCAAATAAAACTTACAATGAGTGTAAGCTACTGTAAGTTTCTCTCCAAATCAACTGAAAAAGTCATGTGTTCTGGCTGCACTGCAAGGCTCTAAAATGCCCATGAGATTCATACAGAGAGCGCATGGTCTATTATCTTCTTCACAATAATGGAGCTTTGTATTTACTTTAAACTTGGTGCAATGCAAAGGTACAGAGTCTTTCACAAATTCCAACAGAATATTTTATGCAACAGTTCTCAGTCATGAATGCTGTCTATTCTAACTGATGAATAAAACTATTGGTTACAGAAAATACTCTTTGTATTTACAAGAAGTTGGTCTTGAACTCCCTACATAGTTGAGGATTATCTTAACCTCTTGATCCTCCTGCCTCCACCTCTGTACTTGGAATACCGTGTGTGCCATCACACCTACTATCAATCATGCACTTACATGTATATAATTCAAATAGATGGAACACATGACATAATGGCCTTTCTTCCCCCATTGCCCACGCTTACTCTCCCTCCTCCCTTTACACTGACATTACTCCAGTGCTACTTCAAAGAGTGAGAGTGAGTGAGCAAACACAAAGACTTACCCATAGGGCCTTCTCATTGCTGATTTGTCAAAAAGTAACTCACTGTAAGGTAATCTCTTAAACTTATCTCTGCCAACGGCCACATAAAACTGCCCGTTCTCCAGTTCGGCTCCACTCTCAACCAGTTTTCCTTCCAGGGTATAAAGCCTGTCAAAATACCAATGTCAACGATTAGAATTTCCACAACCATTTGAAGAGGTGCTTAAGAATGCCAACTAAACAGGGCACTCCATTCTTGACTTGGTTCATCTGTTACTCTTCCAATTACTGACTGTGAAGCCAAGAGATTCAACAGGAACCTCCCGTCATACAAGAGATCTGGGCACTGTCTGGCCCAACAGGCACCATCAACAAGCCTGGAAGTCCAGCACAGAAATCCCTGCTGACACCACAGGGAGATGTTAGAGGGAAATGGGAAAGCTGCTGGTTTAGACTGTATTTCTTTTCATTTGTTATTATTTAGGGGGAGGGCATGTGTGCCGTGGTTAAGTGTGGATGGAGGTCAGAAGAGGAACTGGTTCTCTCTGTCCAAGAATCACACTTAGTTCTTCAGGCTTGTGCAGCAAGGAAGTCTCTACACCCACAGAGCTACCTCACCAGCCCCAGAATGTAGTAGTGTTTAAATGAAGTTGAACTTTTGTGGAAGACGGATTGATGTGTTTGTCGACACTCTTTCCATGTATTTTCTTGGTATACTTGTAGGCCACCAAGTTTCCTGCCACATTCTCTATTAAGGATAGCCTCTGGCCAAGGTACTACAGCCAAACAAACTGGGTAAGAAAAAAAGAAGGTGAGAGGGAAGAAGGGCAGGGGCAAGCCAGCACTAATGACGCAGAACTGCATAGCATGCATGCTTGTGTCTCCTTTTTTAGCCATGCCTAAGCACGAGAGTGAGCATGACCCTCCCAGAGCTGTGGGGTTCATGGAGCCTCCTTTACTGTAAAACTGCTGCTGTAACTGCAATTAATATGTCACTTATTGTAAGAACACTGATTTCTTTACTAGATGGTTTAAATCATCTACGGAATTCTTTTAAACAGAGGAAAGTAGGCCACTAGATAACTAAACCAGGAAGATAATGTAATTTTGAAGATTATAAAGAAGTGCTAGTAGTTGCTAGGGTTTCAACATAATATGTTACAAAAACTTTCAAATGTCTTACATTAAAAATGTTCAATAACAATAATAAAATTCTTCTTTCACTAGGAAAGCTGAAGCAGAAACATCATGTTCAAGGCTAGCCTGGGCTACATAGTGAGTTGCAGACTAGCTAGCCAGGACTATAAACTTTGTACCAAAGAGGGAAAAAAAGGGACCCATTGATCTATCAGCTGGCCATGAAGAACACTAAAAATATCAACAAAAGCCCTGGAAAGTATTAGTTCTCCATTAGCATGCAGATGTTAACATTTTTTTATAATGTGGGATTTCCAACTCTATAAGTCTAAGTAGAAACACAACCCCGATTTCTGCTTAGCCTGCTGCACTGAGTCCACCAATCTGAAACAAAGGCACTGTGGCAGCCAGTCCTCCATCAGGGAAGCTGTCCTTCCATCAAAGGGTACCCAATGGTACCCCCAGAATCTCCCCTGCCTATTGTAGGCTGCCCAGAAGTACCCTAGACTCTCCCCATCTATTCCAGATGCCCAGAAGCACCCCAGTCCCTCTCTACTAGATGGAGAAGTGCTGTTCACAGGCCCAACTGTGCTCAACAGAACTGGCTCCAGATACAGATACAGGTCCCCTGGAATTAAAATCACATGTGGCTTAAAACCACTGGCCAAGAGCCAAACAGCCAGACATTCTTCACCTTCTTTCCTCCAAATAGATCCAAATCAAATGTTACACTAGAAATGAAAAGATCTGGACTCCAAGATCTCCCAGTCAAGAGCTGGCTAGTTTAATAGGCAGGTAGATAAAGCTACTGTGTAAATTCTAACCTGTGATTTTTATCATGCTTCTTCAATATAACCTCTGTTGATGATCTGTTTCCTTCTGTTGTCTCAAAGCACAGGAATCATGAAAATGGAGTTTTATCTGTGGATGCTATCAGCAAATTAATATGCTGATATATAACAGAAAGATATATTCTACTATTATACCCTACTATTAAATAAGATATGTTCTACTGTTAAATAAATATACTGTTGAATAACACAAAGAGTTATCAATGTTCTATGAAGTGAGAGTGGGCTCTCCCAAGTGAGCAGCACCAAGTCTACCATTGAATTAATCATTAAATTTCTCAATTGAATATATTAGCTCACACCTGAGGTCATAGCACTCAGGAGACAGATACAGGAGAATTGCCAAGAGTTTGAGGGTACCGAGTAAGTTACAGATAAACCAAGGCTATAAAGCGAGCCCTTGTTTCAAGAAAAAAAATTAATTTCTCTAAATATTCATGTGTATGGGAAACATGTATTTTTATTTCTGTTAGTGCTTGCATATCTACTCTTTTCCACCTAAGAATTTGTTCAATTTTAAGAAAAGATACATTTAGACAAGATATTATCTATACATATCTTAGTATACTTTAGATTATTTATTGGGAAAGTCAGAATGTATGCAGATGTCAAAAGAGAAGCCTAGATATTTTTAAAACTATGCATAATTAGTGATGTTGATTTCCCTACTGAAATCAAAATAAACCAGAAAATAGCTAAGGTTTAAATAAAAGTTAAAAGCACCAATGAAACAACATAAAATTATTTTTATAATCCCAAAGTCAGGAAGATTGGAGCTAGTGATAAAATTGGTGAACATAAAGAAAGACTGAAAACTTAAGATGTTTATAGACAAAACAAATAAGGAAAATACAAACTGTAAACACATTTGAAACTTACATGCAAACACACACACACACACACACACACACACATACACACAAGGCCAACTTCTCTAATACATAATGTGTGCTTGAAAACCAATAAGACAAATGTGCAAGGATCATGACAGATCATGCAAAATGGAATGTAAATACATATTGTTTATTTAGAAATTAGCTAAGAGCATTAGCTCCAGACTGCCTGCTAGGCTTGCCATGCGACTAAGTGTCTGCTTAATCTTGGACATGTAACTTTCCTCTTTGGGTCTCATACCTCATATCTATCAAAAGAGAATAACACTATTTAATTTATAAGAATGCTGAGCTAATTCATTTAAAATGTAAAGTGATTATAAAAATACCTAGAATGAAAGGGGGGAAATCATACAGTAATGTATATCAAATAAATAAAAATAAAGAAACAATGAAATCTGCGTGTGTGAGTGAAACATACGTGTGATGCTATGAGCATGTGGAGTGGTAGACGGGCCATAGGCAACCTTGAAGTAAAGGTCAGAGGGAGTCGTGCGGTACCCTGATCTATCTGTCACTCTCCGTCTTATTCCTTTGAATCAGGGTCTCTTGCTGAGTCTGGAGCTAATATGGCTGGCATCCAGCAAGCCCCAGAAATGCCTTGTCTCTGTCTCCCTATAGCCCTAACACTGAGGGACAAGGGCCAAGGCAGGAGGATCAACAGGGCTCTCTGGAAGCCAGCTTAGCTCTGGGTCCAAAGAAAGCTCTTAGAAAAGTGGGGAGTGTAAAGCACGGTACGCAGCATCCTTCTCTGAACTCCGTGTTACACACACACAAGAAATGCGGAAAAGGAGGGGGAGTAGGAAAGGAGGAGAAAGGGAGAGAAAAGAGAGGAGAAACTAGCAGTGCATATACTTCTACATGCATAGAATATTTGTAGTTCTGATTTCTAGGGTCAAAAACTACTCAGGAAAGGGATAGTGGATCTGAATGGGAGAAATACTTTAAATTTACACTTTCTGTACTACTTGAATTTTTGTCATATGCTAAGCATTATTTTAAATTGAAACAATTTATACTTAGATTTTCAGTGGTGATAAAACTATTAAGATAATATATAAACATGCATTCAACTGAAGGACATGATGTGCAGTCATTTGGAAATTTAGTGCAGGCAGTGGCTATGCTTTGGTAGATGTATGCATGTGTGTGTGTGTGTGTGTGTGTGTGTGTGTGTGTGTGTGTGTGTGTGCGCATGCATGCATGTTTGGTGTGCATGCATCAAACAGACAAGAAAGTGTCCATGGTGCATCAGGAGGAATGAGAAGGAGATAAGTACTGAAAGAATTGCTTAGATTTGGAGACACACGTGAGTGTGTAGGTGTGTGTCCATGCACATGCACTACACATACACTTCTAATGCATTCTGTTATTTGTAACCTTCCATCATAAAGAAAAGACATAAATTAGCTTGCCTAACGGGATCATTTCAGGGCCAGTGAGAGGCTTCAGCGAGTAAAGGCGCTTGTCAGAAGTCTAACAACCTGAGTTTAAACCCCAAGATCCACATGGTGGAAGGAGAGAAATGACTTCCAAAGGTTGTCTTCTGGCCTCTATATGTGCTCTTGCTCTCTCTCTCTCTCTCTCTCTCTCTCTCTCTCTCTCTCTCTTTCTCACACACACACACACACACACACAAATAAGTAAATAAATAAGTGTAATAAGTAAAGTAATATAATAAATAAAAACCTTAAGAAATAATTTCATAGGTTACACCATGCTTTAAATGTTCATTTAAATTTTACTAAAAATGCTTTGGTTTTACTTTCGGGGCATCTCACTTATCCTCCCTCCAGCTCCCATCTCACTTATCCTCCCTCCAGCTCTCTCCTCATGAAGCCTATCTACTCTTCCTAGCATCTGTCATTTTTGCCTGAGACGAACAGTTTAAACCCCTGAATAAAAAGTCTTGCCTCCCTGGGAAAAGAACAATCAGCTAAGAATCACGAAGCTGGTTCGGGCCAAGAAGTCCCTTTCCCTTAGTGTGGAAGGATGCTTGTTTATTACTCTGCACTAAAATAGCAAAAACAGGTTAAGTCTCCTGATGTGTTCCAACATGGCACAGACTGATAGAAACAAACCCCATTAAAGTGCCATTATATATCATAGTCTTCACAGAAAGAAACTGGGGCACATTTAAGCTTAACAGGGTCAGTCAAACTTCAAATCTAGGAATCAGTGACTCCAGAGCCCATGGGAACATCTTTGAGGCTGATTCCCAAACCATCGCCCCTGTGGGAAGTCGCTATGACACACCTGTGGACAGCCCCACTTCGAAGAGTTATTTTTTCTGTGACCATCTGTAGTACGTGATCCCATTGATTTAAAGCTTTTCTCGGGATGAGGAGTCGAGAAGCTGGGCTTATGAGGTCTCCATTTGCAATCAAGCTGTGGAGGAAAAGGAAAAACAAACAGCGCATCTGAAAACAGTTATACTCATAACATTCAAATTCCAACCCCCAAGGACAACACACAGTCAATTAATTCTACCCTGAAATACGAAGGGCTCCAACTTACAAAATGGTGCAAGGCTCATGCAGTGATTTCCTGAAACGGGCAGACACATTGATCCTGCTGTGGATGACTGGCTTCACCTTCAAAAGCAAAGCAAAAAGGAAAGAGTCACTAGCTACCTAATAGAGAAACAGGATGGTACTTGTGCTGAAATAAGATAATACCACCTTGTTCTGATTCCATTGTGTTTGTTCAGACAGTTCTCAGTCCTCTACCCCACTCTACACAATAGTCAGGTCTGCCTTGGCAACACATTTGAGATTTCCATGGCCCTGACCATGGTCCAGATATATTAATTAAAATAATTAAAGTAAACTAAAATAACTAGTCAAAAAGGCAAAAAAATATTGGCATATGTCTAAAATAATTACTATGCTCTGCCAGGAATGAAAGTTTCCATGTTGTTCTGATTCTAATCTAACTTTGATATAAATCTTGATCTTTGCGGGGTTTGTCTTTAAAAACTCCACATCCCTGAGCTTGGGCACTAAGAGACTCTTCAGAGACATGAGGCCACTCTTAGTGTAGCCTCCTGATGGACCTTTATTGATAAGGAAATAAAACCTTTTAATTGGCTTAATCAGCAGAGTTGTCAATAATTATTTCACATGGATCATTTCAAGGCCTCTGTTAAAGCCTTATTCTCTTTCCACTTGAACACACACTCCAGATTCACCTTCCACCAATAATCAGAAGCCCTCAAAGAAGCTCTCCAAAAAAATTAAAGGAAAAAAATTCTACATTAAGCGCTAGGCATACTTATTACAATCTATGCCAAAGGTACAAACAAATTAAGGCAACTCTTTAAACAATGTTTCCAGAAAAGTACAATCAAATAATCCTATAAAATCCCAACTTCAGAAGAGCCCTCTCCTGCAACTGCAGGGCTGTTTCTTGTCATCTCTCCCCCCATTGTTGGCACACCTGCTCTCAGCTCCTGAAGCCCCACCTTGATCTTTTAAGAAGACTTTTCAGCTTCCCTTCACCCTATGTTCATCACTGGCACTCTAGTACTACCCTGGCCCCTCTGCTCTTAGAGCTAGGGGAGTCTGATTGCCCCTCTCTTTTGTACAGAAGATCTCTATCCTAAGCTCCCTTCAAACTCACTAAGTAGTCATGGATGACCTTGAACTTCTTATCTTTCTGTCTGCAACTCCCAGGTGCTGGGATTACAGGCATGACTCATCATGCCCAGTTTATGTAGTACTGAAGACCAAACCCAGGGCTAGGCAAGCACTCTACTGACCTGTAGCCCCTGCCCACCCCATCTGCTTTTGCCTCTGGAGAGTAGGGTGCAGTTAAAGTCACATATCCCTGTGGGAAAACACACGAGAAAGGGCTTTTATCACCATCCTAGATCTTAGAAATGCTCGACCAACCTTCCACTTACTTATTCCAAGACAATGATTATTTTCTATCTTTATAATGGGTAATTCAAAGCCTTAATTACATCTCATCACACACACACACACACACACACACACACACACACACACACACACACTAAACCAATAGACATAAAGGCCTTTGCTTCCCTTTCTTCCACAGCCCTGCTCTCCCACATCTCCAACCCTTTCTCCTTTTCCATCTATTTCAGAAGATCTTTGTCCCCTTAAAAGACTGTACTCCATCTTAATTTTGTCCCCAGCCTTCTCCACGTGCTCCACTAATGCTGAGACTCTCCATCCGGAGTCTGTAGTTTTGTTTTTCCCTTGGCCCTACACCCTTCTCAAGTGCAGTCCCCCCACTTTCCATCCTTCATGTGACACCAACTCCCATCCTGCCTTCTCTTCAGTATTCTATGTGGTTTCCATCTGTACTGCTGGGAACCCAACTCTCCATCCCGGTCCTGGACCAGGCTCTTCTGTCATCAGCCCTCGTCTCCTGGCAAAGCTGTCCCCAGTAAGCTGTGTGCTTTCACCTAAATAGCTTGCTGCTGTCGCGAAGGCATGCCCTGTGTCTACTCGTGCTTCTGCTCACCTCATCCCTCTGCCTAAAATATCCTCCCCATTTCTCCAACTGAAATTTGACGTCCTCTTCAAGGCTTGACTGCACTATGCCCCCATCATCTGCCTTCTCCTCAGGCAGTGGCTGCAGCTGCTGCTGCAGTACTATGACAGCACTTATGGGTTGGGGGTGAGGGCCTCCATTATACTAATGTGCTTTCTAATGTTATTAGAAACACCACGGCCAAAAGCAACTTGGGGAAGAAAGCATTTATTTGGCTTACAGTCCATCAGTGGGAGAAGTCAGGGCAGGGACCTGAAGGCAGAAGCGGAGCAGAAATCATAAGTAAATACTGCTTATTGGCTTGCTCGGCTTGCTTTTTTATATACTATCCAGGACTACCTTTCTCAGGGTTGATACCATCCACAGTGGGCTGAACCCTCTCAAATCGATCTTCAGTCAAGAAAATGCCCCCACAGACTTGCCTACAGACCACTCTGATGGAGGTATCTTCTCAAATAAGGTTCCTTCTTCCCAAACAACTTCAGCTTATATCAAGTTGACAAAAACTTAGGACACCCATACTAAAAGAAAAAATGTATAGGCAGAGGGCAGCAATTTTGCCAAAAAAAGTAGCTGTCTCCCACTGCACTTAACTTCACAAGACGTACGGAGCTAATTTCCAGGCACTGTGTTTCTTTTCATCATCAAAATAACTCACTCATGAATCATTACTATAGACACACTACTATAGATACGTTACATGAAGAAACAGGAGATTAGTTAGTTAATAGGCCTGAAATCATATTTAAGAAGATACATAATTAAGTGTGGCCTGTAACACCAGCACTCAGGAGACTGAAGCAAGAAGACTGTGAGCTCCAGCCCACCTGGGCTCCACCGTGAGACCCTGTGGGAAGAGCCATGGGAAAACAAGGGAGGGCAGGCAAACGAGGAGGAAAAAGAAGAAGAAAGAAGGTGGAAGAAGAAGGAAAAGATGGAAGAGGATAAAGGCAAGAGAAGGAATAAAAATACAAGACGAGGAACAGAAGGAGGAGGAAAGGGAGAAAGAGGAATAAGAAGGAAAGAGAATAAGGAAGAAGGAAGGGGAGGAGGAGAAAGAATAAAAAGAAGGACGGGGGGGAAAGAGGAGGGGAAGAGGAAGGAGGGGGAACAGCAACAGCGGCATTGTCAGGGAGGAGCCTATGAGCAGTTAGCTATTGGCTATACTCTCTGCTGGCTAAATAATTAGACTTGAATAATGTATGGCAACCTTTCCTTTAAGAAATCGCCTATATTTTTAGGTATAGAGTAAGGGACTAGGAGGAAGGGAGGGATCTCCTTAGAAAATGTATCTCCATACCATACAATAGTACGGATGGATGTGGGGAAGTGGAATGGAAGAATCAAATGGGGAGGGAGAAGGGTGGACAACAGACTCAATACAGGGAGGAGTGGTTAAAACTAAGGACCACTTGAGTGATCATATAGAAACACAATGCAATAGATGCTTCTTAAATTATATAAATATATAAATGGAAACTAAATTGAGTCACCAAGTAATGGAGCAGACTAAGCACCAACTAGACATCTATTGTCACCAAATGAAGCCTCCAATGCCAGGGATGGGTTACATTTAACTTAGTTGTTGGTCAAAGAGGCCACATGAACACTTCCTAACAACCCAGAATACTCCCAAGTCTGTAGGTTGCTCTCCAAAAACTGACAGTTAAGGCCTTATTGCAGTAGATGACACCTACACAACTCTTTGGACATGAAGTCAACCTGGTGCCTACCTAGAGCCTTCACTCCTATGGACTAATAATGTTCATGGTTCTGGAAGATATTCTGCATGATACCAAATGAGAATGGTAACCACCAACCAAACTACAACCCCTTTGATCTGCAATGGTGACCTGCCTGCAAGACATGCTGGTACAACGGTGGTAAAACTCTAAGAGTAGCCAACCACTATCTGGTTGGGTTTAAGATTGATTCTATTGGTTGGAACATATATCCAACACGGTATATGGATGGCCAAGAACCTGAGACTAGGCAGCCATGGACCTAGAGGAAAATCAAATATTACTGTTCTCCTAGAGGAACGTAATGATAAACTGACTCCTAACAACGTTCAATTCTACTCAGATCAGTGTCCTGCCCAGGCACCATCAGAGAAACTGCTTCCTACAGCAGATGAAAACAAATTTTTGAAGTTTTTTTTGTCTCATAATATTTCATATGGATTTTTTTTACCTTATATGTCTTTTGCTCATCTAGTGTGGTTTCCAGTTGTGTGTTTAATTGGAATCTGTGTGTGGGATTGTGTGTGACTCTGCATCTGGATGAGTTTTTTGTGATTTTTTTTGGTTCTTTATTTTCTGTTTGTTTTGTCCTATTCTGATGGGTTTGCTTTTGTTTTACCTTATTCTTTGCCTGTTTGATATTTTTAATGAGAGGAAGACAGAATGAATGTGGACTTGGGTGAGTGGGGAAGTGGTGCAGATCTGAGAGGAGTTTGGGAGGGAAACTAAGTCAGAGTATTTGCTTACTGTATAAAAAAAAATCTATCTTCAATAAAAAAAAATTTTAAAGACAAAAAAAAAAGAAACAGCCATGTTTAAAGAAGAATTCCTCAATTCATCAGTTGCTGGAAGGAACAGTACTCATAAATGGTTGCTAGGTGGACGTTAAATGTTGATTAGAATTTAACTAAAAGCTACTCTGGCTTAGAAAAAAATTAAACTTTAACTGAACAATTTTTCAAATTTTATTCTCATGAGTAGTTCACTTTATATAATGCACACGTCTTAAGTACTCAAAGAAACACATGGTATAAAGGACTGCCCCTCCCACTCCCATTCCCTAGCCACCAGACTGCAGTCGACGGTAGCAATATTCCTTCAGAGAGAGTCTCTGCGTGTTATCTAGTATAGCCCTAACAGACATGTAGCTTTGGGCTAAGTGACAGAGTGCTGTGGCTGTTCTGCACCTTGCATATTTAGTGATCGTCCACGGAAAGTGTTTGCACTTCACTCAGGTCAGCTGTCTGCACTGCACCCCGCAGAGGCGCTGCAGCTCAGTTAACCTCTCCTGAAGCAGCCAGTCCCTTTGTTGTGTCTCAACTTCTGCT